AAACTGGCTTATTTATGTAATAACTAAACATGCTACTGAAAATAGTATTAATGCAACATGGTGCCTAATAAGTGTTTGTTATATACCTTTCATACTTTTGCAGCCATGAAAAATTCTCAAATATCTATAACTGAAAGTCAGTAGCGTATTCAGCAATATATCGTGACTAGGACTTTTGGATCCACCAGATCACACTCAAACAAACACTTCGGAAAAGAACACTTTTATTCAACTCACTACAGAATGTTTGGTCATGGAGATTGTAAGCTAAGAATCGCGAAATTATAGACTATCCGTTTACTGTAACCTTTAAAAGTAAGCATATAAATAATCTATCTATCTAGTTATTAAAACATATACATGTGATAAACATGATTTAACGGAATTAAAACTTTCAACCTGAACGGCATCCCTTGATCACGTGCTCCACTGACATGCCACTGTTCCTAAAGGAGAATGCACTTAAGGATGATTAAGCTAGCAGAACAACATATGGAAGCCTATGGAGGGAGTATAACTGGCAAGTCTAAGAATAACCAGTTAAAGTCGACACCAGTGGTGGCTGACCAGAAGTAGGAGTCTACCAAAGGTGACAGAGGTTAACAGACAAATGAGAAAAGGGATGCTATATTTGTTATAAAATAGGGCACATTGCGAAAGAGTGCTAATCCATCATCTACAAGCAATAGCAGAAATCTCAACTTAAAGCAGCTGGAGCTACTTACAAAGATGGTGCTGGTAAGAAACAAGAAAAGGGTGACTGTCATCATGGATGCTGCTGCCAGAAGAAACAGAATCAAGACAACTTTTCAGATTCACCACAAGGTAGAAGTGCTATTTCCATAATTAATCTGTGCGTGACTGATGGTCAGCTCAAGTTAGTAAATGGACCAACAGTACTAGTAGTTATTGGAGCATGTGATAAACATTGGAAGGTGCCAACAAACCATAACATGTCAGTAGGTGAAGGCTAAATTGGGGACAAGAAAGTGAAGGTACAATGAGACACTGGGTGCAGTAATGCAGCAGTGAGAATCAATTTAGTATATGATGATAAGATTATGGGCAATGTATATCTGTGTGGGCTGATTGATGGAACAGTGAGAAAGTTCCCACGGCAAAGATAAAGGTAAATACTCCATATTATGTGGGAGACCTTGAAGCCATGTTTATGAAGGCACAAATCTATGACATGGTAATTGACAATATACCAGGTAGTAGAAATGAGGAGGAACCAGACAGAAAGAAGACTGATGAAACATCTACAATCAGCACTAGAGCTCAAGAGAATAAAAGTCAGCACGACATTGAACCCTTGCAAGTATCGAAAGGTGACATCTATAATGTAATTTTTTGGGAACTGAAGGAAGCACAGAAGAAAGGCCCTTCACTGCAGAAACTTTGGGATAGTGCCTGGAGGAAAGTTGAGCACAAAACCAAGGGGAAGGGACTTACAGAACAGAGAACCAGAAGAGAGTGTTGTACTGAATCTATCAAGGCAGTTCTATTGGAGTCTATATGCTAGACTCACGTGATGAAGTGGACTCATGAGTCAATTGTGAGAGGACACCTAGCAGTGAAGAAGATGGCAGGCAGAATCACCAGCAACTTCCATAGGCCAAGGGTCATTAGAGATGTGACCAGATTCTGCAAGTCATGTGTCATCTGTTAAAGGACAGCACCTAGAGGTAAGGTGGCCAAGGTGCCACTGAGTGATATGCCTCTCATAGAAGAGCTATTCAGCAGAGTAGCTGTGGACATTATTAGACCACTATCACCTGTATCCGACAAGAGTAACCTGTACATGTTGACAGTAGTCGACTATGCAACACGTTACCAATGAGCCATAGCAATGCCGAAGATAGAGATGGAGAGAGTAGCAGAATCCATCCTGGAAGAGTTCTGTAGGACAGGTTTTCCAAAAGAAGTCTTGAGTGATAGAGAGACCCAGTTTACCTTAGAACTGCTGCAAAAATGTGCAGATTCATCAGCACTAGGCAGTTCTTTGCCACTATAAACAATCTTACATGCTTATGGTATAATGTTAGTAAAAGTATGCAAGACTGGAACTTTAAAAAGTATGAATATTTTATATCTTAAGCACTGAAATATGTCAAGTCTGAATTAAGTAAAAAGAAATAACATGTAAAAGTATTGTTACGACAGTGGGGGTCACGTGACGCTAGTAACACGTTATATTCTTGAAGGTTCGTGAATCCTCGAGCGTTTACTAGATTTGCGTTATTCTTGTATATATAAGAAGGCCAAGAAGTGACGGCAACCATGTAATTGAACTGCAGACAGAGACTGACGATTTAGTCGAGCACGTGAGTCATTCGTTGTGTATTACAGCGTTTGTTATAGCGTGACTGTGGAAATTAAGTGTATTGCAAAGTTGTATTTAGAAAGAATAAACCAGTTTTATTTAAGAAAGGACTTCTATCGCTAAAGTTTCTTCGGAAAGAAATTATACGGAAAATTAACTAACGAACAGAGACGTAACAGTTTGCATAAAACTGAGACTGTGTTCTATTCTTTATATATTAAAATGAAAGAGGTAATTATAACTGGGAAAAGTAATGTTGAGAAGGTGTGTGTCGGAAATGGAATGGTCTTCTTTGGCTGATGGAGGTGGAGAGACTAAAGTTCTTGGTTCTAAGTGTATATAAATGTGCAACCAATGCCCAATAATTTAGTCAAGTGGGGTATGAGGGAGAATAGTGCATGTCCGCTCTGTGGTAAGCAGAGTTTGTTTCTCTATGTTCTGTCTGCATGTACAGTAGAATCTAATAAATGATGATATGCATGGAGACATAACAAAGTGTTGAGGGTGTTTATGAAAGTGATGGCATCAGTTAAAGCTCTGGTGAATAAAATGATGACGTTTGTGAAGGTAGAAATGACAATAAAGACAAAGAAAGGTGAAGAAGGTAGCAGTGGGCAATGGTTTATTGTGATCAATAACACAGATTATTAGGAATATACCTCTGCTCATACTGTGCAGACACAGGTTCCTTCATATTTTTTCTGTATGGAATTAAACAGAGAAGGTTATGCTGGTGTGGAAAGAATGGAGTAAGGTCCTCACAAAAAGGCATTATGGAGTTATGTGGAACTGGAAGCTGAGGCAAAGCAGAAGGGATGGGAGTGTATTGTCCGTTTTCCCTGCTGCATCACTGTAAACTTTTCTAAAGCAGGTTGAGCTCTGGAGTAGAAGCTCAATGTGAATAGTGCAAGGTGCATGTTATGCCACAGAGTTTGACTTACTGTCGGTTTGCTGGAAGGTTTTTAGCAGTCCCATAACATAATTAAATGCTGAAGACCCACTACCCTGAAACATACTGAGCTCAATGGGCCAAAACCATGATGATGGGTAGTGCACAGCTGACGATTATAGGGTTCCTTTTTATATCTCTGCAATTTTGCATTTTGTAAAACTTGAAAATTATGTGTTTTCAAACCTGAAATGTAAATGTGATATCTTTCCTTATTTTGGTAATAGTTGGTTTCTTCAAATCTTGTAAAATCTATATTAAAATACATTCTTTATATGATATGCATTTTTAATCTATGTGTCAGATATAAAAGACTGTTTAATGTAGGTAGTATTGTTAATTTATTTATTTTGTGTTTGTAACTCATGGATGTTGTGTTTGCAATCCATTGATATCAAGGCTATGGAAATTTCTAGAAGACCTAAGTGATAGACATATAAATAGCTGCGACCAGACGAGTGGAAAGAGAGGAAAAGTAAAGTCATGTGAAAGAAAAATTTGGTCAAAGAAAAGTTAGAAAACATAAAGTTAACCAAGCTGGGAATAAATGGCCTAACAGTTGATATGTCAGTAACAGTTTGAAAGAGATAAGGAGTATATATTGTTTCACGAAGAGTGTTATAAACTAATTGAACCCA